AAGTTCGCCATTTTTACCGCGTACGCGCTAACGTACGTAACGTTCGTTTCTATAATCGTAGGGGTTTTCAAGATTTTTAGTGTTTCTTAGACCGTGTCAATGCGTGTCCGCGTATACACATTTGGAGGTTAGCTAGTTGATGTATTGATCACCCGGGATGATTCACCCTGCACACGTAATCGTTACTGGCGGTCCGAATAATATTATAGTCATCGATAACGGATAATTTACAATTTCCAGAGAACCGTTTTATGAGGTTTAGTTATGGAGAAACGCAAGTAGTTATGTTGTATATGTAGAGAAGCGCGTGTGATCTTTTTGTTTATTCTTTATATAAAACGTATATAGCGGATAGGCGTATTCCGAGTGTCCGGCCTTTGAAACCTTTCATCGTCCGCGCGTATATTTAAACGTGTCGGGGGTACCTATAACCCACAGTACGCTCACACACCCGTCCACACACGCACTGTCTATTGAAGATTATTTATACACCGATATAAAGTTCCCGTATAATAATAATGTACAATATGTGCCGTGTCCCGAGGCCGTCCTATAATAATAGTATAGTCTCGACCCTTCTTTTTTTTTTTTTTTTTTTTTTTTTTAATATCTCCACGATATACAATGTGTATAAGTCCGGCAGCATCGCGAAAAAGAGTGCGAACCGCAGCGGTAAGAATAAAATAAAAATAAAAAACCCCGTCGTACGCTATTTGAATAGAAGAAGAAAAAAAAATATCTCGTTTAATACGTAACCCTGGCGCACGACCGGTCCCTTTTCGATTTCGGCAAACACGCCGCTCACTCGTTTATGTTTTCTTTTTTTTTTCGTTTCTTTCCCCGTATACAATTTTATACGAGTATGATAATACGAGAACGCATCGGATATTCGTATATCCGCAATAAAACACTCTAGACGGTAATATACAAACCCGTGCACAGTCTCGCCCCGCGGCGGTCCGGTAAATAATGTGTACGCGCATACCGTAAAGCGCAATATATTATAATACGTGTGTACATATAAAAAAAAAAAAAAATAATAATAGTATAATAATAAAAAAAAATCCGTACGTTATTCGCAATTTATATACAATTTTTTTTTTTACTCGGCATTTTATACGGCGTAAGACGGCAGCCGTTTAAATTTGAAATTCAAATTCGAAATTTACCATCTCCGATTTCCATTCTGAACGTATATTATATTATAGGTACCTACACTTTTTTTTTTTTAAAAAAAAAAACAAACGATTTTTCCGTACAGTGTCCGTCGTCGTCCGCGTTTGTTTTATTCATCTCACCTCCCCCGCCACACACACACACACACACACACTATCTCGGTTACAGACGCGGTCGCGGAATCCTAGTCGAAAAACTTCGAAACGTAACGATAATACGGCGATCGAGAACCGATATTGTTGTGTACTTATTAACCGATAAATTCAAGCGCATCAGGCAGGCACCTAAAACAGTGGCGCGTCCAGGAATTTCCGTCGGGATCGGAGGGCGTGTGTAGAAAATCGTAATCGCACAGCCGTAGGTACGAGCCGAATCAAAGAATGAAAAAAAAAAATCAAAAATCTTTTTTTGACCGATAAATCAAGTTTTCCGCGTAACTCCGCCGTAATACAATGGGGCGATTGGAAATGTATGTTACGGTCGTTTCGTCGTAGGATAAATATTCGATGTCTATAGACAAATGGAATACGAACGTTTTTTTGGTTTATAAACGTCTATATATTGATTTGTACATTTTTTTTTTCACCAGCCTTTCTGATGGGGTTTAACGGTAGGGGGTCATCGTTTGAAATTCGAACTAATAACCCATAATTTTGTTCGCAAAACTAATCTGAAGATAATTATTTTTAAAACCTCACGCGGAAAAATAACTAAATGACTCATCGCGCGATGCGCCGCGCCGCAAACGAAATGCAATTTCTAAACATTTCAAATCTCTCTCGAGCAAAGAGTTTTGCACCAAATCCCAATGTCATTCGATCACTATATTTATTATAAAACACATTAAACAAATATCTTCGCATTGCGTTTGCGCGAAAAGTAAGTTTGGTTTCCCGTTCGTTTTTCAAAAGTCGACACTTAACCCCCCTTCCCCCTGAAAAGACCGTAGAACGACGTTAAAAACGTACAAATCGTTTTAGACGCGTATAAATCGGAAAACTTTCGTATTAACAAAAAAAAAAAAAAAAAAAATAAACTTTCTTTATGTCGTCTCGAAAAGTATGTTATGCATTTCGAGATTAAATTATCAAGCGAATACGTTCGCGGTTGTATTTTTACCGTAGCAAGACGGACGAAACCCCTACGACCCGTGTCCGCCGACCTTACAGCAGGCACGTCCCCAAGAGAGGAAGCGAATGGGCATTCGCCCCTTCCCCCCCCCCATAAAAATTTATAACGTATACAAATTACTCTGCATTGTCGACAGATTAGTAATTATGATCAAAAGTATAATTATTTACCGTTATCAGTAGAAAAAAGTGCGTCATCCGCGTGCCCGAGACGAAAATATTGTCGATTTTAAATAAAAAAAAAAAACAGATTCGCCTTCGCCTCCGCCTCACGGGGCGACTTCAACGGCATTTTAACGGATTTTTTTTCTCGTTTTTTCGGCGTTTTTATTTTTCTTTTTTTTCCGATACACGCTATGCATTAATATCGGAGTCGGTGTGTTACACGCGCGCGCGTGTAAAACCGATCCCCGTAAAATAATAACGAATCGATAACCGCGGCGGCGGAGGGATTATTTTTTCATTAGCTGCCGGCCGAAAGTTTCGCGGGCGGTCGTGTTGTGGAGGCATCGCGACGGACGGGGGAAAATCGGGTCTCGCGTACCCACGTATTTATTATATAATTAAATAAAAGGAATTTCGACAGCAGCCGCCGTGAGAGTGTGTTGTACGAGCGCGCGAGTTTATATACGCGCCAAAAACTGTACACCGAACCGTAGTACCGGACCGTCCAACCTGACCCGGCCCCGTCGCTGTCTCTGTTTCTATCCTCCGTGGCCGCCGGTGAACACCGCACCGCGAGAGGCGAGGGGAGGGGCCCGGCGAAACAATGACACCGCGGCGACGAAACCCTCCCCGCCGGCTCGCGCCCCGTCCGACGGGAATTGATTAATATATTATTGTTGCGTCGTTATAACAGGACCGCGTGTCCGACTCGGCGCGGGAGTTTCTTCTAATGGCTTTTCCTGGTCGAGACGCCGCCCGCGCAATTTAACACCGACGGGCACGACATAATGTCCCGCGGCCGTTATGAAAGTCCCGGGAACTGTTCGTTATTTTTCCCCGAAAGGTTTTCGTCGGGCGGCCAGTCGCGTTTTACGCTCGTCAATTATTATTTACTCGTATATTATTGTTCTCCGACGTCCAATAATATTATTTTCGTAGTGCTATCGCGAGCGAGCGGGCGAGCGCCGTTTTCCCCCGTCACCCGTCTATCTAAGTTCTGACCGCCCCTCGGGTTTTTCACCGGACGAATAGAGAGAATAACACACGCGTACACAGAAAGGCGGCGTAAAACCGCCGCGTTCGACGACGATAATTATTACCGTAAATACGGCCGCGGCGACCGCTCGTTACACGTCCGTCGCCAAAATGACCGGAGAGAACACGAAAAAAAAAAAAAAAATTACGCGATAAAACCTGCCACCCGGTTCCTACCTGCCCGCCCGTCCGCCTATACGGCGCGGTGTTCGATTACAGCTATTATAATAATACAGTGTATATAATAATAATATGCAATACCTATAATATAAACGCGTAAAGAGTTGTGCGGTTTTTTTTTTTTCGGTGTTTGTTACGTTCGCAGTAATATCGCATTTTTTTTTTTTCTCTCTATCCTCGCCTATCACCCGCCTAACCCGAGACGTATCTATCGGCCGAGCGTTTTTTTTTTTTTTTTTTATTCTCTAAATCGTACATTACAATTCCTACTGTACGGTAGTTGTGTACACCTACGGGTATAGTGTTACGATTAAACAGCCACTACTCGGTTATTCTTATTGCGTTATAGAGTATACGTTATTATTTTTAGGCGCTTACCGTTGACCTCGTGCATTGTCACGTCTCCCGTAGGTGCCGGGCGCGTGTATTCGTGTCGTTTTTCCGGACGCCGGTAATAATCGGGTTCGCGTCTCGTGCAAATCCGTCGTTCGCGCACAACGGTCCGTTATTTTCGAGTTTTCGACGTAGGTACAGGTGAAAAGCGAAAAAAATAAAAATAGAAAACCGCGTACCGTGCGGAATCGCGTAGACGTACGTGTCGTTGCCCGCGGCGGCAGTCGAGTGCCACGGACGGTTCGCTTTACTCCTCTCGGCTCTTAAGAGCTTTACCGGCGGGGGTTTTTTTTTTTTTTTTTTGGCGCCAACTCGTCGCCGCGCGACGTTACCGACTCGGTTATCTACTGGTACCGCACGCAACCGCTTGGAAGAAAACGCGTCTTCCCGCGCTCCGGTTTTTCGTCTATGTATAACATTCGGATTTCGAATTTTCCACTCGAATTACATCACCGCGTGCCCGTCACGATGTTTTTTTTTTTTTTTTCATATATATATATATATTTTTTTCCTTACGTTTTTTGTTAATCGGTTCACATTACCTACGCCGTCGGTACCGACAGTGATAAATATTCTTGCGTATTGGTTAAAAACCACGATTTTACGGTTTTTTATCTTTTTCAAAATATAACCTACGTGATTTGGTATTATATTTTCGTTGTAATATTGTTTTCCCATTCTAAAGTCAACATATTCTCGTAATACACCTATACTCATTTTATTCTATTTCATTAAATGTGTATTGTTATATACGTTGTTATTATTATTATACGTTCACATAATATTATTATTTCTTTAAAGATTCGTTTTAAATTTCCTAGGAATTTATAATGTACACGAGTATAATTACGTTTAAAAACATCTATTTCGATTAAATTTAATAATAACACGTTACAAAATTGCTTTTTATTTTTTTTACGACTTAGATATTATTCAAAGTAACTGGTACGTTTTATTTTAATGACCTAGAAATAAAAACTCAATAGACAATGATTTGTGTTAAATTTTCATAAATTTAAAAAATATATTATATATGTCGTTGCATGAGAAACAATGAATGTTTCAATATTTGAACAGTTTTATTTGCATATTTTGTAGGTTTCGCACAGACATTCTGGGAGTTCTTCGAGCTCAGGCATTAGTAGTACAGGACCATCAGGAAATTGTTCTGCAAATGTAACTAGTGGCAGTGATCCATTGGCTGCTCTACAAAGTCAACAATTTGCACAGGTATAACATAATTTAATTTAAAATAAAAAATTCTAAATACTAATGTAGATTTGTAAATATTTTATTTAGATTCCTGGATTGGGGGTTTTATCGCCACAGAGTAATCCATTAATCGGAAGTCCTCCAGGCGGCCAATCGTCTCTTACACCTCAAGAACTACAAGCACTTTTCCAGCAACAAATACAATATTTATTAATGAGACAGTCTACGGCATCACACGGGAACCAAACTCCATTCTTTTTTCAAAATCAAGTGAGTTAAATTTGTTCAATTTATACATTATAATTATTATTGTCTTCGTTTTTTTAGTCATTATTATTGTTAGTACCTATTATTCATAATTATTTATTAAAAAATATTATGAAATTTAGGTTCATCAAGCATTGACTCAAGCATCACTTCAACTCCAACAAATTCAACAGGCTCAAAACATGACTAACAATCATCAGCATTCTCCAGTTGGCCCTAATCAGTCGACACGGCCTGCCGGCTCATCAACACCGTCCCATCATTCTAAACATTCTGCTCAGACCCAATCATCCAATAATGACTTGGATTCGTCGGCAGCAGCAGCTCTTAGTCGATTAGCAGAAACCAAAACCAGCACTGACGATACCACTGATCTCGAGGAATTAGAACAGTTCGCAAAGCTATTCAAACAAAGACGCATAAAATTAGGTAAGACAAATCAAAAACATTTAACATTTAAGTTGGAACTAATTGTATCGATTTAATATTTGTTTAGGTTTTACTCAAGGTGATGTCGGCCTGGCAATGGGTAAATTGTATGGTAATGATTTCTCTCAAACAACAATATCTAGGTTTGAAGCGTTAAACTTGTCTTTTAAAAACATGTGCAAACTAAAACCGTTATTGCAAAAATGGCTTGTGGACGCCGATAGTACAATGACCAATCCTAGCGCCATGTGTAATCCATTGACAACTCCAGAGGCGATCGGTAGACGTCGCAAAAAACGCACATCCATTGAGACTTCTATAAGATATTCATTGGAAAAAGCATTTAGAGCAAATCCTAAGCCTACGTCTGAAGAAATATCTATATTGGCCGATAATCTTTCAATGGAAAAGGAAGTGGTGCGTGTGTGGTTTTGCAATCGCAGGCAGAAAGAAAAACGAATTAATCCGCCGACAACAACCATGGCTGGTGGTCAAACCACATCGACTAACACTGATATGTTCACCGCCTCAATGTCAGTGCAAAATCAAAGCGATATGTTTCCCATGTTAACATCTCCGGGACATCCACTAGCACTCGTATCATCTCCATCAATTGGAGGTCATCATCACCATCATCACCACCACCAGAGTAATAGCGAGTGACATTGGTCCATCTCATCGTCTCTAAACAATGGATTTGATGAGCTCGGTCAACGTAGATATTTCAGGGCTCCTGTCGATGGCAAATTATCACTTTGTTAGTCACATTCAATAATTATATATTGATTTATGCATATTGAAAATTGGGAAAAATTCATACTTTAAACAAAATGTAAAAATTGTTTAAAATAATCTAAAATATGATTTTTAGAAAAAAAAAAAACAATTCTTGCAATACTTAATTAAGTAAATCTATATAAAAAAAAAAAAAAAAAAGACTCGTTCGTTACAAAATAATATTTATATTATTATGATTGTATGTACCTATTACTACAAATATTTATAAATAGTTTGTATATAAACACTATTATTTTTCAACAAAATAATAGTAATTAGTATTAAAATAATATGTCATATTATAGTAATTTAATTTTAGATAGGTATTTCTGTTTGATCTGTGTTAAAATATGTTAGTGAACCATTATTTCTTTTAATTTTGTAAATAACAACGTTAAATTTGGGGATTAATCAAAATAATGTCATTGTCTGTCTGAAAATCAAACTTTTTAAGTTTTTTTTTTTTTTTGTGCTAGCAAGCGTTTTTAACTTTCGTTGATTAATTTGTTTTTAAGTATTTTAGTTTTTTTTTTTTCGGCAACTTATATTTTCTTACAATCATAAATACAAAGGTGATATTAATATTTAATATACACATTTTATTCAACTAGTCTTCTTCATTTTCTTTTTTGTTTGTACTTGGGATATAAATGCAAAGAGTACAAAAAGAGTAGAAAGAAGACTAGGTCAATAAAATGTATATTATACTAAAATTCAAATATTTAAGATTTATTTAATTAGTCTTAGAAAGCCAATTGCCAGTGTTCTGTGAACACTGTATACATGTTATATTTTTGTTATTGTTTTACATTGTTACTTCTCTGTGTTACACCATTGGTCATGGTGGTTTTTCGAGATTTTACACACTCAAAATAGTATGCAAATTAAAATGTTTAACCTTTTTTAAAGTCTGAAAAAAAAAAATATTCAGGAAGACAATACAAAAGTACACAAATAATTATTGTTTGCTGTGTTTTATTAGCATGACTACATATTTAATATTTTTTAGTTTTATAAAATTTGTTCAATAAAATAAATTTAACTGAAAGTTAACATCTGAACATCTATCGGTTTTTGGGTCCATCACAGTATAATAATGTATGAAAACTTTTTCAATTTCACATATCATTAAAATTCACCTTTTCTTACTTTTTTTGTTTAATTTCACAAAAGTTCCTAAAGTCTTGCCTGTGAGGCAATTGTGTAGTCATTAAACAATTCTTATCATAATATTTAAGTCTTAGAGATTATATACCGATTATTATTTTTTAATGAATTCAATGAGATGTTTACCAAAACAATACAATAACAATTTTTTAAACTTAGTTGTATAGCCGTAGAAAATAATTTGTATACATTAGGATTATTTTCTTCTCTAATTATTTATTTCATTTGATAAATTAAGTTTTAATTATAGAATTCTAAAACCCAATATTTGTATTCTATTTTATTTTTTTAAATTATTGTTCCTAAAATTATGTGTTCAACCTCTTTCTCCGACATAGCCTTCAAACTTGAGCCAACAGTTTCAACATATCCCATTACTCACAATTCAATATTATTTTCTATACCTTTTGTAGTCATTGATTTTTTAAAATTAAGCTTGAATGGTTCGACTATTATCAACTAAAACACAAACACATTGTGAGCTTGACTGTCGAATCATTTGACCAAAATATTAATACATCAAATGACTAGCCAATTTATAATTATCATGTTCGCTTTTAACAAAGTTACAAATTTGCTTGTATTTTGTGCTGAAAAAAAAACAGCTCTATTAACTCCAGTAACAAATTTAACATCAAAAAATGTCAATGTATACCGTTCCATTGTTCATATCATTAGAATAGAAGGGTGTATTAACGTAAATTAATTAATATGTGATCTGTGAGTGTATGTGAATTTATTAGTATACATTAAAATACATACTTACACATACACACACATGCATGCATATATATGTATATATATACATACATAAATACATAAATATAAACATAAGTAAAATTAAATAGTTATTAAGTGTATTTGTGTTTATTATTATTATTATTATTATTATTATATTATATTATTAACCTAAATACTATATAAATACTAGGGACCGTAAATCGGTTTTGTATACGTCAAAAGTCAGGTAACTAAATGTTTGTAAAGGAGACATTAATTTTAGACTATTAGTATATTGTATAAAAATTAAGTTAACAATAATAAAACAAGATTAACTAAACATACTTGTAATTTTTTTTTTTTTGGTTACCTGAGTCGTACCCCCCCCCCAATTCTTATCTTCTTAGGTATATGTACTTATTAGTACATCATTTTTATTAAAACCTGTAATTTACATATTTCACGTTCTAATTATTTATTTAGCCCTAAATGTTATAGATCAATTTTTTTTTTGTATATTCCTTTTGTTGTATGTATATTTTAATTGTCAAGTATCATTATTATTATTATTATTATTATTTTTTTTTTTTGTTAAACATTCCTTATTATTATTATGGTTTTTTTTTTGTATTGTAAAAAACCTTTATATTATATATAAATATATTACATACATTAAAGAAATAATGCAATAATAGTATAAGTGTTTTGCTACATTTTTTATGCAGTTCAGAGTTTCAGAACTATTATTACTATTAATATTATTAAAACAACTGATTTAAATCCTCATACATCATAAGTATTTAAACCTTTATTTTAAAACGATCAAACATATGTAATTTCTATAATTTTAGTGTGTTAAATAATTTATGAATTTCACATATGAATATTGTGTGTGCTGTCCATAGATGGAATGAACTTTTGATATGGAATGTCTTAATTTTTAAATAATCATGTAAAATTAAAACAATAATACAATGATGAATAAAAACTTAAGTATTAAATAAAAATAATTTTAAAAAAAAGAGTATTTATTTCAGGTGACCCACATAAAAAATTGAAGAAATACAAGTGTTTCTTTAATGACTCATCACTGTAATTGATTTTTATTTTTAATAAATAGATCAGTTTGAATCAATAGATTTAATGAAACCAAAAATATTTTATAAAATTTGCAGTGGGTGTATTATTGCAAAATATTAAAAATGAAACAATTAATATAAAAATAGATATTTAATTATAACATAATTTCACAAAGTTGTATTTAACCGAATAAAATATATTAAAATCATCTCCATTTGTTGATTATTATTAATTTGTATAATTATCAAAAATGTATTTAAAATTAAATTGTTGCAGAATACATTATTTATAATATGATCATGGTAATAGCTCATTCAATGATAGTCATTAATTACCAGTTGTACAATATACATAAATAATAATTATTATAATAAAATACCATGAATATTAACGATTGTTATAAATGTTTTAATATAGGTACCAACCAATACTAAAAATAGTAAATATTATTAATTATATTTAAATTTAATTTTATATTATATATATATATATATATAAAAAAAAAAAAATCAAATTCAATAAAAATAATGTGTAAATATATATTCTTTCTATTAATATAATTATTATTCTTATAATAAGTGTACATTTTTACAAATTCTATTTTCATTAATGAAGTCTGTTCAAATAAAATTTCAATAATTAAGGTCAAAAATACTTTTAAATTGGTTTATGAGGACAGTTTTTTTTTTCTGATTAAATTGATAATTCACAAAAAACAGAACAGATTAAATTTAATCTATTTAACTACACGTTTAGAAATCTTCTGTTAACATTTAATATGACATGATAAAATACAATTAATGGTATAAATATAGGGGAAAAAATTGTCACATGTTAAACAAATTATTTATTAATTATTATGCTTTAATAGTATTTTCAAAATATTAATATCATAAATATAATTCATCATAAAAATGTAACCATTAAATTGGATAACACTAAAATTAAAAAAAATATATAAAAAAGACCAATCTGAGTGATTATTTTTTTCTAAATATTTACATAAAATATATGTACTGTGCAGAAACATTTGAAAAAAAAAACTGATACTTAAAAAGAATAATGTATTTAAATTTGCAACATAAATATATCACATCAAGCCAAACAATTACTGAACAGTCTTCATTGGAAATAGTATAAATAATTACAAGTTAGAAACAAAACTCACGTAACCATTCAAAATAAAATTTTGATCCATAACGCTATACAGTGTGCGACAAAACAAGCCATGACATGATGAAGTAAAACAAAAATATTGGGTACACAGCTAAAGCCTTTTTTCCTTGAGGTTGACTATCACCAAGGAACACCACAGAAGCTAAAACAATAAATAAAATAAAAGTTATAAGAACCGCATGAATAATTTTTATGTTAATTTCTAAGTATATAACTTACCATATGTAGCCCATAAAAATGAACCAATTGATATAGCAAAACGAATGAAAAACAAGAAATTGGTTTGATGAAATATTAAAATAAGCCTGCAAGTGATCAAAGCTAAAACAATCGGTAGTAAACAATAACCCAATACACATACACTTTGAAAAAACGATCTAAAAAAAAAAAAATCATCAATATGTGATTAGTCAAATGAAAACAAATTATTATAATAACATGACAGGGATATTTAAAGTAAAATATGTCCGTTGTCACTGGCTTTCTGCAGGTCACTGTTGTAACTTAAAATATGGGAATGTTAAATTAGTTTATGTACTATACACAACAATAAATTATTACAACAAAACATTTTTTTGGGCAGATTTAGATTAAGTATTTTATGATATATTTGAAAATTGTGTAAATTTGTGACTACAAAATAAATTACAATTGTTTGTGTATTTTAACAAAGTGCATCACTTAAAATACATAACAAATAAATAAATAACAACATGACACTTAACTTTTTCTTTTTATGTAAAACTTATGATTAATCTTAAATTAAATTCTTGAATATTTTTATCGAGCCCAAGAATGTTTATTAACATAAATGTAAAGTAGGTACTAAAAATACCGTGACTTTTATAAGTGTCATCAAAATCTGAACTTTAAACACTTATTGAAACAAATTTGTGATTAAAGATTAAAATATATTTATACCATAAGAACAACTTAAAAACAATCTCTTATAAAAAGTTTGAAGGCAAAATAATTGTAATCACATTAAAATATTAAATCAAAGATAACTAGAAAATATAAATTAGGTACAAAAAAAACTGTAAATAATAAAAGGAAACAAATGTTGAAATGGATATGGTAAATTATAAATAATTGTTCACAAGTAAATTACTCGTTTACAACAAAATTTCACGTGTAAACTCTTTAAATTATACAACAATAGTTTACACAGAAATTTTTCAATTGTTTTGTGTGAATACTATTTTTAAAATTCTTAAAATTGTTGTTGAAATTTGTTTAATATTCATTTGGCATTTATGATAAAATTTGTAAAAATCATGTACATTTTACATTTCTACTATGCTGGTACAATTTATATTTATATGAATAAACATTCTATTGTTTGAGTTGTTTATAGCTTATTTTAAATTGATTAGTTTTTTTTTTTGTTTGTTTGATTATGTGGATAAATATTTAGTCATTTATTTTGTCAGTATTTTAAATTCAAATTTATGTTAAACTCATTAAAAATATGAATCTATCTACATGTAGCTGTAAATTGTATGTAACAGTAACATATAAGTAAAAAAATAAACGCAGACAACACAATTTTACGCAAATATCGTTAACTTTCATAATTATTTGTAATATATCCACTAGACATGAGAATTATACTGCAACAAAACTGGTTATATATCTAAATGATTTTATTCAATACTCTGCTAGCCCCGTTAATTATTAAGATAAAATGTGTCTCATAAATATATTATATTACAAGATTACCTAATTATTGTAGATTAAAACAGTAAGTAAATGGAATTTATTTCCTTATTAAAGTACATACAACCATACTCCATCAATATAATTTTCTTAACAATGTACATCATGATCTTTAGCAATGGTTTAGCAAAAGATCTTAGCTGAACAAAGTCTGTAGTCTATATTTATAGACTACAGACTTATGTGTTGGTTTGGTTTAGCCAACAGAACATCAAATAATAATTAGTTTTAAAATTACAATTTAAATACCTATGATATACTATAATCAGTTACAAATACTTACATCGTGCCTCCTAATAATTTTGAATTAAATGTTATGATAACAGAACCAATCCAAATAATAACAAAAACTTCTGAAAACTCAGGACCTCCATCACCCTGTAGATGTTTTGAATCTGGAGACCCTTGTAATACCCTAAATTTATGTAATAAAATAAATTATAAAGATTTGAATACCTAATTTATTTTATTTAAAAATGATTACTGACATAGCCATGAATGTGCATAACATCAAAGGGCCCCACAAATCCCCTGACAAAAAAAAAAGTTTCATATTTTAAATTAAGTAACTATTAAAATATTGTAATTAGAAACTTACATTCTTTAAGGAGTGTATTTTTTTCTTTTAAATATAATACATGTTTGAATTTCATGCCCACTGCTTTTAAATCCCTCATCTAAAATGAACAGAGCTATCATTGTATATAGATGTATTTAAGAAATGATATATTTACAATGGTAGTTTGAATAGGTTCATCTAATGTATTGAAACCAGGATCACCAATATTTTGCATTAGTGAGCCCGACACAGTCATTCGTCCTTCTACATTATCCATTGGTCGATCTTCGATGAACTAAAAGTCAATAAATAAGTTAGTGAAATTGAAATTTACTTTTAAGTCATCAAAATAAAATAAAAAGTGATCAGAAGGTATTAGGGAAGATATGAGGGTATAATGTGGAGTGGATAAAGAAATGGTGTAGTTAAGGGAAAGGAAGTTGAGAATGAGATGTATAGGTTTTTTTAGTTTGATGAATATAATTATATATGAAAAACGATTCTGAGCAGTTATGTTTTTTGATAAATTTAATTTAAAATTTAGATTTATTTGTAGAACTACAAAAATAAATTACAACATTACACTTAATTTTTTTTTATCACTAATTTCAACTTATGCACCCAGAACCTTGTAAATGTACGAGCAGTACTACGCAATATGGTATTTACAGATTCTATTATAAATTGGAACTTCAAACAATTACATAAAAAATTCCTGCATATTTTTAAGTATTATCAAGAATTTAAAAATTGTTATCCTTTTAAATCAACATAAAAATCTCAATAATTTCAAATAACTATAAGTAATTCAAAAAAATATCAGAATAGATTTAAAACATTTAAAAAGTACTAATATATAAATTTTGTGAAAATGTCAGGTCTTTTTATTTATTTTTCATATTCTATCAGAAACTGCCCTGAAGTTGATAATTGTAACAAGTATCTTGCTTGAATAGTTGATTATAGACAGAAACAATAAGCAGAACACATCATAGTAAAACAAATACATTCCTTACCCGCTCAGAACCGCTAAATTATTACAAAAAAAAAAAAAAAATTGTAAGTATTTTGAATAATAAAAACAATTGTTTTTTTCTTAGAACAAACACATTATTAGGTACTTAAATCTAGGTTCCTTGTAGGAAAAATACTTGAGTATTTTAAATAAAATTTGATTTTTTTTTTGAAATCAAATCTACTTCCTTTTCTACTAGTATATTTGATTAAAGTCTTAATTAAATGTAATGAAATTGGATTAAATAGATAATTATTATATAAATATTATTTTACTTACAACTGTAGTATGGCCTCCATTTGGGCTGTTTGTGTTTATGAACTAAAATTTTAAAATCAAAATTAGATTTTATTAAGTAGGTACAATAAAAATGTAATATATATACAATGGCAGCCACTTAATATGTGCATAATGGTCTGGCCCGACCGATTCTAATTTCGGTTAAAATGGATAACCGTTTAATATGGGCAAATATAACTGGTCTCAATGTGCCCACATTAAGCGGAATCCACTGTATATTAAACTAATGATTTTATTTGAAAAATAAATTATGATTTTATTGCCCAACCAACATTTAAAAATAATAAAAATTATAACAGCTAAATATTAAAATGCTAATGTTTAATTGAATACAAAGAATTGTAAGTAGTGTAAAGTAAACAAAATTGTATGTCAAAAGGATTTAAATGTTTTTAATGATTCACATTTAATTGATTAAACATTAATTTTAATAAATCATACATTTTAAGAGCTACTACGACTAGATCTAATGATTTATAAAGTGATAGTTAATATCAAATATAAAATTTCAAAATGTTTACCGAATTCATATAGGTACTGGAATATTTTTCTTATTAAGTACATGATTTAATTATGAAAAAAGTAAATTTTTAATTTACCATTACATTGTTGAATAGAGAATAAAATAAACTTATATAAGATCAATAATAAGATTGTAGGTTTTTTTTTATAATATGTTACACCGATTATTTTAATTAGAGTACACTAGTATTTTTACATTATACACACAAATGTTGAAACGTAATAGAAAAGTGAATTGTACTTGTAATTGAATTGTATTAGGTATTTAAAACCAATAAACACCATGATAATCGTTACTCAGATTGTTAAAAATATTCTCCCTGTTCTGTCTAATAAAACTCTATAAGTTTTCCCAGCCAACAATACTTTCCTCCATTTCTCCCAATCCTGGACAATAGTTTGCCAATCGTCCAATGATAAACTTTGCAAATATTATTCAACCATATCCAGCCAACTGTTTACGAGCTTCCTTAAGAAAAGGTTTGTGGATATAGTTCAAGAGGATTTGTAAAGTGCACAACAGAAGAAATAAACGTAACCACGATTTTCGATTGGTTAAAAATTATGATAAATAATATCAACTAATTGGGTATATTGTAAAAAAATTATAATTTAAAAAAATGTGTAGCTTACAAGTTAAATTCGTGAGCAATTAGGTGAATTAAAAATGATATAAACTTACATCCATTATTGTTTTTATTTATTAAGTACGCAACAATAACAATAATACTGGTTGACGAAAAGCTGTTTTCAGTTTCATTCGGTACTCGTGAAATCGTTTAAAAAAAAAGAGCAGTAATAATTATTAAAAGCCTTATACATTTTAAATTTGGTCATTTATATATTACAGAAATTCATAGAAAATAATAAAATTTATCATCAACTTCGCTAAATTGAAAATCCAGACGTGTCATGATAACGTTACAAATCCGACTGATAAGCAAAGTAGTGGTTCCAAAATTATTGTAATAATGTCAAATAGATAACTGTACGGTATCACGGTAGGCCAGTAAATAATTAATGAATACAAATCAAAAATGCATACCAGTTAATCTGATATTCCGATTCACGGATAGACGATAAATACACGGGTGTTAATACTGTGCATCACTATGATAACACGGTTGTTAAAAAATTGGTGTCGCGGTGTTTGGAAAATTGGATCTTAAAACGTTGGCGCACGCCTACACCCAACACCCCACGCAACTGTTGGTTAAAATTAAATATATAAATATAGATAATAGAGACCCGCGAGGGTCGGGCTTTTTTTACTGCAGGAAATCGCGAATTAAGATTTACCTCGTCCATAAGATGCAAAGACATATCATAATTCGTGACAAAAACGGCACTGTCCGTTTCATACATTTTTATTTTCAACCCGATACCACTGGTCCCGCGAGAATACGAGTACACGACCGTCGTGTTAGGTACAGTCAGAGAGCCTAGACATTATCTAGGTACGGTTATTCGAAAATGATAAGAAAAACTCCGGGCCGGGCTTTTTCACGTCTGTATAAAATACCGGGCCGTACTTTTTTTTTTTTTTTCAAAATTAAAATGAATATTTAAAATCTGTATTATTAGTAAGTAGTGAGTTGTTCGGATTGGATTGGGATTGGCGGTTGGAGATCAGTGGATTTTGGTGGTTATTTGTGGCCGTGCGCAGTTTTTTTGTATGATTGAGAGGCTAGTCCGGGAACAGTTGGGATTTCTAGGTCGTCGTGAAGGGACTGATTGCCGACGAACCGAGGAGCGCCTGCGATGACGCGTAGGCTTATAGACTCAAAGGATTGGTGTGCATTAATATTGGACTCTTTACGTAGATAATAAAGAAATGAATAGGCCACTACTAAAACAATCGTAAGTGAACCGACGTTCCCAGAGGACCGGTAAACCAAGGCGATTTATCATTCACTACATATTGTAGATAAAAATTTATTTCGACGGTATTTTCGAACAATGCCCTCGGCGCATTGTGAGGCAGTGGCGTATTTACGGGGAGCCGGAGCGGTGTCGGGCCGTCTATTGTTTTCGCACTTTGAATTTTCATGTTTTTCGTAAGCGCGCGTTTCGGTTTTCATTCGTGATTCATCGCGTATTCCGTTTTGTCGGGGGAATACCAAAAAAGATGTGCCGTCGTTTGAAAAGTCTCGCGAAACGGTGCAAAAAACGGATCGACGCGTTCGAGAGGTTCGAACCCGGGACCGGACGGGTCGGCACGTTTCGCGAGCGCCGCTGCGCCGTCGTACGCGCGCAGCCCGCGGGCGCGTTTTTCCGGCATATTTAGACATCGGAGTCGGTACGCGCATACACACACACACACACACGCGCGCGCGGTCAGACGGCGGAATCTGTCGATCGTGTTCGGCCACCGCGTGCGGTAATTTTTCGAAAAAAGAAAATCGGTCGACACCGGTACACGTTTACACAGGACTGTAGGAGTTATGCGCCTGTACGAGAATAAACAGAACCGCCACGTTTCGCGTCTGCAGCCTCATTGTGGGTGCCCGCTATTTTTTCTGTTTCCCGATTTAGGTATCCGCGCGGGTAAACATCGTTTCTTTCCGACTCCGTAAAATAATGCTTGCGAATTTCCGAAATGAAAATACTTGTATTAAATTTGAACGATTCGAGAGGTCGAGTATAACCCCTTAGGTATAGGTATAACCTATCAAAATACGTGTTTTTTTTTATTTTTCGACGAATCGGGACCGTTACCTGGAACCTGGCAACGATTTATCGCTGTTCCGTGGGTAATCCGTTGGGGTATAAATTGAATTGAATTACCCATTCTCGGCAGATATCCTATACCTGCAAAAGTGGCAACACTCATAGGTATACTTACTTAATGATGCGAATCATGTCGGTCAGTTTTTTTTTTTTTTCGTTTTACGCCGAAATGTATATCCCTGATCATATGAAACGGTCGTAAAAAAATGTCAATACCCAGTCATGTAAATTTAATACGTTTTCAAATCGTCTTTGAAATTTGAAAAATAGGTACGCCCGTACCTATAGACAGAAACTTATAATATAATCTATATCAGGTAAACATTTTTTTTTTTTATTTTGGACAATTTAAAGCTTTTAGTTGTTTTATTTTATTGTCCGGAATGTTAAATACGTTAATTTAATTAAAATTGACGATAAATTGTGCACGCGATTACGGTATTTAAATAGAAGTATTTGCTCCTAGATTTTCGACCGGGAGCGGCGGCGCGCTCCTGTAATCCGGCTGCTCGGAGGTCGGGTTGCGTGGATGGTTTGAGGTGGGGACAACTGCGCCGAGTCAGTCCGCGTTGAACGGACGTCCGCGCTAAGCTTGTCGTCAATATGGACCCCGCGGGGTAGCCCATGGGGCCCAGGTTAGCTAAGGAGAGGCGAACCGGGCCAGAGGGGAAACCCAGCAGCCAAAAGTCTCCGCGGTGAGCAGTAGTGGGATAGCGCCTGCGAGTAGAGTGCTCGTGCGCAGCCTGGCCAACATAACCAGACCGCAATCCAAATTTTTTGCACTTTTTTTCGATTTTTTTTTGCATTTTTTTCCGATTTTTTTTCACATTATTTTCGCCTCAAATTTTTTATAATGGTTGATTTATTTAAGATGGACACTGAAAGATAAAACCAAAATATGTTTTCATGTTCTTAGATTTGTAATATATTGAATTTTTTGTATTCCCTCACACGAATATCTCCAATAAATTATTTGTATACTGTATTTGTACGTATATTTTAAAAATATCTTTAATTTATAGATTTTATACATACGTGGTTCAGTAATTTACTTAAAAACTAAGTGAGTACGGTTTTGGGCTATTTTAATAATTAGGTATTAATAAAACCAGTTTAAATAAGGTGACCATATATATATTTTTTTGTGAAAACAGGACAAAAAAATGCATTATTTTTAATATAAATAAAACTTTTTTTTTAATTATCATACGTATTGTTTTACTTTTACGGAACAAGAAATGAAAATGAATTAATTAATTAAACTTATTATTCTTTTTCGATTTAGTAATTATATACTAGTATATTTGCCATTGGAACATATTTTCTTCAATAAATCCAAAAACTGGCATCGACGTTCAAGTCGAAGTTTAACAACTACAAACTCGACCTTTTGTCATGTACACAATTGATTTTCATTATTTATTTGTTTACCTTTTGAAAATGGGATATTTTGGGTCCCGAAGATTCCTCAGGAGACAACGGGACAGAGGTACGAAAAATGGGACTGTTCCATTCAAAATGGGAAGTATGGTCACTTTAAGTATTAATGAGAGTATATTATAATACACCGTGGTTTAAATCAATTGGCTATTACCTAAGTGCCAGGGTTGACAATGAAATATTAATGTAGATACCAATTTACAGTGTAAAGAATACCCACAATTTGTCAAGTTATTTATCAAGTACATTACATATTATATACATTTTTTTATTAAGTTGGTTTTAAGAAATATTTATTTAATAATTTCAATTATTTTGTATAAAAGAATTGATTTGAAAATATACATCTTAATGCACACAAATACAATGGCTAATAAAACTAAATGATAATTTTGTAATCTATTATATACTGTATCATTTTGCCTAACACTACATTGTTTTTAAGTTACCTAGTCAGTGGTTTTAATTTGTTACTAAAAATCTAATTATATATCACGTTTCAGAAAAATAATATCCACAGCATTGTTTTATTAAATAGCATTTCTGATTGCTATAGCCATCACAACTGAGAAAGTTCAAATTAATTATCAATACGTATACAATATATTATAATACATCTCTAACACAAAAAGAATAAATTCAATTATGTCAATAATATTTAAAATTGTATTATAATTTAGGAAAGTCAATTGCAAGGGGTAGTACAAGCTCAGATCCCTCAGTGTTATCGGTTCAAACAAGAAAAAAAAAAAAAAAAAGGAAGGTCAATTGAAATCAAATTGAAAAATGCCAAAAATTGCAAAGTTTTTAGATTTTAATTTGTACTTGCACGAAACAAATTTAAAACCTACTTAGCAACAAATCTACACAATGAAAAAAGTTGCAAATACAATTCTATTGTAATATACAAAATACATCATTTTTTCACAATATATACAATTGTTCAAAAATTCATCAGTAAAGATGTCTACAGTAAAATCATTTAAATGCAAATAATTAAACAATAACAATTATCTTTAAAAAATTACTGAACGATTTAGTTAGTTGAATTGTTGTCACTAAATAAGTATTATAGTTGATATGTTCTATGTAGAGGTTAAATTTAAAATTATTCTTTAGATTTCACACAAACAAGTTTGACCAAAAATATAAATAATATTATTGTGTTTTTCCTTCAAATAAATCATAGAAATATGAAAATAATAATGGTAATAAACATATTTTCAAGAGCATAATAATATAATAATTAAAATTTGTTATTTATAGGTAATTACTAATTACTAACAATTAAAAGAGTTTTGTTTTTTATTCATAATAAAAAGAACTGTTAAATCAAATGTTCAGTATTTTTAAAATAATATTATAATAATAAAAATAATAATATGTATTAAAATATAATGATAATTTAAAGATTTTAAATCTGTCAACTGCAATGGAGTAAATGAAAATATTTTAATTGTGTTGCAGAGTTTTAGAAATTAACCATATATTTTAAATCTCTGTGAAATGGGATAAGTGCAAACAATATAAAGCATTTCATAAAAAAAAACAAAAGGTAGTGACACAATATTTACAAAAAATTAATTTGTTCATGACCTAATAAATCCATTAATACATATAGTAAAATTATAAATCATTAATTTAAAAGCCAAAACTAATTTAAAATTGTTTTAGAAAATAATATTTCCTAAATAATCTATACGTTAAATCAGATGTTTATTAATTAGAATCTTCATCATCATCATCGCTCGCGTGCTTCTTTTTTTTTCTCCTGTTAGATGTTCTCACTTCCGACCCTTTACCACGCGATTTCACTTTCAATTTTAATTTAACTGATGACGAAGTAGTATCAGCATCTGATACTTCATCTTCACCTAAAATATTTAGAATACACTTTAGACTTAGGAATATAATAATGATATTGTATAACAAGTTATTTAACAGTCATTAATATAAATTATCTTCAAAGTTTATCAGAAGAATATACAAAATTTTAAAAACACTCAAACTTGATATGTAGGTTTGAATTAATTTTCTTTTAAGTAAATATATCATTCATTTTTACTTTTAGTTCCTTCTTCTGGTCCTGATTCTGGTATATCGGTTGTTTCTAATCGTTGACGGGAATTTGTGAAAACAGATTGTAAAACAATAGAGTCTTCGTGAATTAGTGAAGCTTCTTCATTATATAGCTGTGCGTTTTTACAAAGTTGCACGAAGTCTACTTCGAGTTCATTTAAATCTGCATACTAAAAATAATTAAATAAAAATTAATACATTTTAAAATGTAATGTAGACTAAGAAAAAATTGTTGAAGCATTATAGGATTCATTTATAAGAATATAATACCTTTCCATCTTCAATTTTTGTCATTATTTTTTTTATATCCATTGGTTTCTTTATTACATCATAATAATCAGGGAGTTTGTGTCTTGAGGGTAGTTTCATAAATGGTTCACTCAATATTCTAGAATCGGCATCTGTATATTTTACTACAATATTCATAATCGTTTTCATTTTTTTTCGAAGTTTTAGTTCATCTGGTCCGATAGTTTTACGTTTTCTTACTGGCGGCTCATCATCATCATCAAGACTTCTTTTGCCTCTCTTTTTACCGCGGTTTCCTTTGCGATTAGATTTTACTTCTTCTTCTTCATCATCTTCAAAGTCATCTACATTTTCGTCTATTGCCTTTAACCATTCTTTTTCTGTCAAACTATCAGTATAATCTACTTCCTTACGAGCACGAGAACCACGTCCCATTATCTCTTCAGAATCTTCTTCGTATGTCCATCTTTCCACCTTTAAGATGATTATGATTATGAATTTTTAAATATTATACTACAATTAAATATAATAAAATAAAAACATACCTCATCTTCATCTTTAACAAGCCATTCGGGTAATTCTGATATCTCAATTAATCTTGATTTTCTGTTTGGACCAAACTTTGCATCTTCTCTGCGACGCTCAAGATCCATCTTTTGGAATGATTCAAATTCATCCACCGATCGAGCTATCATCTGGTTAACCACTTCATCATCAGGGACTTCATTTTCTTCCTAAAATTAAAAATATTATTTTATTCATATGATGTAAGATGAAATTAAAGTGATTTCAAAAAAAGTTACTTCATCATCTCCATCGTCCTGATGTAGAATAGATTGTAAAAACTGTTGACGCTCTGATCCAGTTGACTTTTGATCAAACATACCAGCTTGTATAACTTTTTCATCCATATTTAACTTGTATCTTGCTGCAGCTAAAATACGTTCTTCAACTGAATTCACAGTCATTAAACGAAGCACTCTTACTTCATTTTGTTGACCTATACGATGGGCACGATCCTGAGCTTGCAAATCCTAATGATCACGAAAATTATAAATTAAGTATTAGGTTACTCCAGATTGGTTATTGAATAATTACTTGATGTGGATTCCAATCAGAATCAAATATAATCACAGTGTCTGCTGCTTGTAAATTTAATCCAAGGCCACCAGCTCTTGTACTCAACAAAAATAAGAAATAATCACTGCCTGCACTATTAAATTTCTTCAGAAGATCTCCTCTGTCTTCAGCTTTGGTAGTACCATCTAAACGCAAGTAAAGGAAACCACGCCAGCCCAAATAATCCTCCATAATAGTCATGAGTTGAGTCATTTGACAAAAGAGTAATACTCTATGATTGGTAGCTTTCAATTTTGGTAAAATTCTATCCAGTAACTCAAATTTGCCTGATACTCTATACAAATCTGGTCTATATACACAAATATAAAAAACAAAACAATATTGAATTATACAATTTGTATTTAAATAACATAATTTGTATTTATTGATAATTACCCCTGAACAACATTTCCAGCAGTTCCAATATGTTCACAATATTTTTCTTCAATACTTTGGAACATAAACGGATGATTACATAGCTTTCGCAATTGAACAATAGTATTCATAAGAGCTTTGGCGCCACCTTTGCCTTTGCTACCCTTTTCAGCACCGTCAGTAAGTAATACACCTTTGCTCTGCATGTGTTTGTATAAAACTCGTTGCAAGCCAGACATATCACATTTAACAATGTATTCTACTTTATCAGGTAATTGAGACTCCACTTCTTTTTTCAGACGTCTCAATAAGAATGGACGCAAAACTTTATGAAGACGACGAATGATCAAAATGGTTTCTTCTTCATTCAATTCCACCTAAATTAACAAATAACACATGAATTAAATTTGTCTAATTGGTAATTACAGTAATTTTTTTTTTAAGAAATATACCTTTTCTCCAGTAGTAGCGAAAGGAGCATTAAACCATTGTTCAAATGTTGAACATGATTTAAATATTGATGGTAGTAAAAAGTTAAGCAGAGCCCAAAGTTCAGGAAGTTTATTTTGTAATGGTGTACCAGTTAACAATAATCTGTGTGGAGCGTTATAATGTGTGTTTAAAACTTGTGTCAATTTACAATGATGATTTTTCATTCGATGACCTTCATCAATGATCATATATTTCCAATGAAGCTGAAAATAAATTTAATTTATAATAACAGTTTCCTTTTCAAAGTACTCTGTACTATTAAAAATTAAAATATTAAAACAATTTATAAAAAAAAAATCATTGTTTACTTTTGCAAGAACTGATTTATCCTTAATAACATATTCATATGTAGTTAACAAGACATTAAATTTAGTAGAACGCATTTGTGCTTGTAATGTTCGACGCATAATTGGAGATCCTTTATAGGCTACAACAAAAACTGAAGGAGACCACTTCTCAAATTCCAACACCCAATTTGACAATGTACTAAAAAAATAATAAATAATATTATTTTTGGAATTTTCCAAATGTTTTAACTATATTAAATTCAAACTCTTAATACTTACGACAAAGGTACAATAATCAAAAAAGGTCCATTTACTTTCTTTTTTTCCATAAGATAAGTAATTAGACCTATTGTTTGGATGGTTTTTCCTAAACCCATTTCATCAGCAAGTATTCCATTCAAATTATTGTTAAATAATGAAACTAACCATTCAAGACCCTAAAAAAAAAAAAAAAATGTTTTCTTAATTCAGTTGAATTCAGATTAACTAACAACAATTGCATACCTTTATTTGATATTCTTTCAAATTACCATTAACTAAAATGGAAGCTTGTTCAGTGACACTTTCATGAATTGTATGGGCAATACTAAAACAAAAATATGTACACACACAGATGAATATTTTTGCTCATAATATTCAATTTCATACAGGAATCTAACCTATAATATGTATGTTCCTCAGATGCAGTTTTGTATTCATCATCTTCCATTTTAGTTTTTTTAATTGGTGCTTCTTTTTCTTCAATTGGTTTTTCAACAATAGTTTTCTTGCTTTTTTGGTTGCTTGCTTCATCATCTTCTTGCTCCTCATCATCTTCATCATCAGATTCTTCAATTACTTCCCAACCAGGGTGAGCATCTAACCAACTGTTTAATTGTGATGCAAGTGGAGCTTCTTCTCCTTTTAACGTTTTTCCTATAATACAAAATAATGATCAATATAAATAATGTTTTAAATAATTAAAAAAAACACTTACCAGTAGAAGGTTCAATTAATGAAACATGCATGTCTGATTGCTGAGAACTCTCATCCAGATCTTCAGGTCCGTCTTTCTTCTTATGCAAATCAAAATATGTAATTAGACAACATAAATTTAATATAATATTAATTATAAACCCACCTTTTTTTTCTTTAACATCTCTTGTTGTTTACGTTTCTGTTCCAACTTATGTTCTTTAACCATTTCTGTAAGGTTACCAATGTATTCATCAGTCTGCGAGAGTAAGAAAGCCAAACGTTTGTCTTTCTTTTGATCGATTAATTTCCTATAAAAAATTAATAACAATAAAACCAAACCACATTTTTAAATGTTAGATAAAAGTACCTATATCCTTCTTCATCTTCAGCCATCAATCTTCTCATACGTTCTTTTTCAATTCTTTCTTGTTCTTTCTTTTGTTCACGTTCAGCATTGGCATGATAATTCATAACTGCTTTATTGAGTCTTCCGATTTTAGCAATATTATTTCTATGATACTCTTTCAAGTCTTTGCAATGTTGTAATATGGTACTAAGATATTCTTGATGTTTTTGCCGCTTTTTCCTCTCAGCTTCTAATTTTTGTTGTTTCTCAAGTTTTTCTGTTGCTCTGGCTTCTCTTAAACCTTGCCGTTTTGTTCGTTTATATGCTTTAACATTAACAGCAGTTTCTAATGTAGTGTCACGTCGAGTACAAGCAACCACTTCAGCTCTTAATTGTCTTTGAAAATTTAATACCCTCAAAGCTCTAAGTTCAATTTCCACTTTGATTCGTAAATCATCACTCATTGTTGTTGGTAAATTGCTCAATTGTTGTACACGATGGGCAATCCGGGCAGCTAAACGATTTTCACGTTCTTGTAATATTATCAAAGGATCCAATCCTACTGGTTTTGGACATGATGTAGTTCTATTTTGTTTAACTTGAGGTGGAGGTGCTTGTTGCTGTTGTTGAGGAGGTTGTTGCTGTTGCTGCTGCTGCTGCTGCTGCTGCTGTTGTTGTTGTTGTTGCTGTTGTTGTTGTTGTTGTTGTTGTTGTTGCTGTTGGGGTATAGGTTGTTGTTGGGGTACTGGTTGTTGAGATACAGGTTGGGTTGGAGATGGACCATTTGTTGTAGGCATATTTTGCATGTGAGGAGGTATGCCGGCCATTTGTTGTGGTCCACTCATCATAGGTTGAGGGACTCCTCCCATAGGCGGTTGACCTACAGGAGGCTGAGGTGAACTTATTTGTTGCGAAGCTTGAGGCATTACCGATGGTGTAGGAGGCATGTTAGCAGGCGGTTGAGGTCCATTTATAGATACAGGTGGAGTCTGATTTGATGGTTGACCTTGAGGATGTTGTGGGTTGGGAGGTTGAATTTGAGATTGTGCAGTTGAACCAGGTTGAGGCATTCGAACCGAAGATTGTTGTTGCATTAGGCCAGGGGGGTTAGCCTGTCTAGGAGAATTTTGCATTGGCATTCTTATTGGACCTCCTGGTGCCATCGGAATATCTATTTCTCCTGGTTCTAATTGACGATGATGTGGTGAAGGCACTGGGGGATAACCTTGAGGTGAAGTTTTTCCTTGAACAGCCATAGCTAATTGTGGAGTTAAAGGTTGTTGCCGAGCCAATAGTCTATATGCCATTATCTGAACTCTGAGTTGCTGCATTTGGGCTGGAGATAAATTGTTTTGTGCACTTGGTCCATTAGGCCCATTAGGATTAGGGGAATTTTGCTGTGGTGAAGGTGGGTTATCAGGATGTTGTGGGGGATAATTACTCTGAAATTAAATTAATATTAATTTAGTTGATAACAATTCTAATTATTTACCCATACAGTAATAGGAACTAATACCGATATAGAACTCACTTGCATTGAAGACGGTGGTCTTTGATTTGGGTCCATATTACCTTGTCTTGCTCTTAGTGCTAACAATTGAGAATATCTTGGGTCTTCTTGCAAACCTTTTTCTTCCATCGAGTCTATTGCTCTTTGTAACGCATTTAGATTTTCCTGAGGTGGTCCACTTGGCTGAAAACATTGAAAAGATTACAACAAATACAATATATATAACTTATGTAATATAAATATGAAATTTATTTGATACACATTTATGTTTTAATTCTTATACTTTAGGCATAGCATAATGTTCAATAAATATGGCATGCCACCAAGTGCCTTGTCGTCCACTCAAGTATACACACAGCCACTACACCAAACGCTAAACTCAAGAATCAGTTCAAGTCCAGCAACAATAGTGTAAGAAATTAGGTATTGGATCTGATAGTTTATTGAAAAAGAAAAAAAAGCCCCAGGTAGCTCAGTGGTAGAGTAATTATTTTACAAGTGAGAGATTTGGGTTTGATTTTTAGTATAGTCTGGTTTTTAGAACTAATTTTTGCTGGACTTTCCTTGACAGTATGCTGGTATCCCAACCTATTACGTGGGAGAGAAACTAAGGTTTGATTCTCAGTGTGGGGCCATTTGATGCAGCTATTTTTGGCTGGAAAATAGTGCTAAAAATCAGGTTATCTTTATCGGGAATCAAACTCAAATATCTCACTAGTCAGGTGGTTGTTCTATCACTGAGCTACCCAGTACCTGATTTGGGGGTTGGTAAAGTGGCCGTGTATAAATATTTTCTATTTGAATAAGTAATATCAGTAAATCATGAATGCAATTTAATTAAGTATTAGTTGAAGCATTTATTTTCTAAAATCTATAACAGATGATACCTAAAAAAAATAAATCTTGCAAGTTTTTTTTAAAGAAAACTTAAATTCACAAATAGTTATAAAATTGTTATTTTTTCAGTAGGAATCCAGAAAATAAGGAAAAACCATAGTGTAACATTAAAGGTAGTTCAATTCCCCACGAAAAAGAAAATATTATTTGATTACATACAATTATTTAAAATTTAGATATATCACAATACAGTTTAACTAGTTTTTATTTTGTTATTTTGGCAACACTATATAATTAAATACCTTAATGTTACGTAAATCTTTTAGATGGCAAATAAACTATCAATTTTATCTTATCTTAAGTACATTTATGGTTTTTTTAAGTACTTAATTATTATTTAGTACCTATGCATGGTTATAACATAGTCTAATTTTTATAATTTGTTCATTAAAATAAAAAATACAATACTTAATTTAAAATCATGAGCAATACTGATACATATTTTAATAATGCCCTTAAAATAGTTATGGAGGCAGGTGAAGTAAGTATGTTTAGTTTTAAAATTTAAAAATATAATTTTTAAAAAAAATTTATAATATATTTTTTTTTAGATTTTATTAAAAGGGTTTAAAAGCCCAAAAGATGTAATGACAAAACAAGCCTATTATGACTTAGTAACACAATATGATATACTTGTAGAAAAAACCATAATTGACAATCTATTACAATTATACCCAAATCATAAGTAATTAAAAAAATCTAAAAATATGGTTTACATAATATTAAATAAAAAAAATTGTAAAGATTTATTGCAGAGGAAAGTCAAGCAGATGCAGTGTTAACAAATGAACCAACATGGATATTAGATCCAATTGATGGAACCACTAATTTTGTACAAGGTTTTCCATTTTGTTGTATTTCACTAGCATTGGTTGTAGAAAATGATATAATAATAGGAATAGTTTATAATCCAATAACAAATCAGTTATTCACAGCTCAGAAAGGCAAAGGAGCTTACTTGAATAATGAACGAATACATGTTTCAGATACTGAAGGTAATTAATTAAATGAGACGCATAATATTATTATTAATATTAAGAGATTACAGATAGGAATTATATAATATAATAGGTATAACAGTAATATTTTTGGAAATTGCACAAAATCGTAATAAAGAATTTGCAAATAACCTTGCATTGAAATAAATAATTACAAAAATTAAGTTCAAGGTTGTTTTGTGATTCATTTTGCTCAAATACTTTCAAAAAAATTTAAATTTGTCATTTATCCAATAAACTATATGCCATTTAATAATTGTCACAGTAATTTCCATCAAAAGTAGTAATTCAATTTATTTAAACCGTAAAACTATTTTCTTGAAGTCTAAAATTAAAAAAAAAAAGTACATAAATATATATATATATTTATGTAAATTGTTAAGCTTGTTATACTTTTTATTCTATTTCTTAAATTTAAAATGATTTCATAATTTTATTTTCAGATATTAAAGATGCCATGTTTGGATTTGATGTTATTTCCATAAAGGAAAATAAGAATTATTTTATGAAACATATTGATATCATAATAGACAACTTCCGTGGGTAAGTGTATTGCATAATACATTTTTAAACTATAATTAAGTACCTTGCATGTAATATGTTTATATTGAAAATGTAAAATTTGTACAATGCCTAGGGAGGGGGGAGGGGTGGAAGTGGCGTGGCTGCACAATTTAGGTATTTTGAATATCACTTCATCTATAAATAATCAGAATAATATTGTCCCAATAGTAAGCAAATTTCAATCCATATGGCATGTGGTTTTTTTATGACACAGGTTTTTATCGACAAAAATCAAGATGGTATCAATTATACATGGCTAATAAAAATACTAATTAATAAAATGTTGTTTGTACCTAAGTATATACATTATATACCTAAGATACCTACTCATTTTGTGTCTAATAAAAAATACAAATAAATTTGATTTTATTAGTTTATAGGTGTAAAAATTTAGATTTCTAACAAGACCTTAAAGTTTATGAAATTTATTAAAATAAATAAGTTTGTTAGAAAATAAAATATATAAATATATATGGAGCACCGCAAAATTCAGTATTGGGCCTCAAAATTTATCGGACATGCACTGAATGTGTATGTATTATTACAGCCATCTAGAATTGGGTAAAAGTATATGTATTTTCTACAATTTAAAACATATGTTATTTTATAATTGTTTATACAAATTATTTTTTCCCTATACAAATGTAGTCAAATTTGTTGACTTCAAGCCATCAAAGTTGTGCATTTCTATTTTTTTTTGAAAAATTAATAAAAAAATCACATTTTCTTAATCAAATTTAGATGGTTTTTCTGTATTCCAAGTAAGTTTGGGAAAAAAAAAATTGTTGCATCTAAAATAATAATTTGTACTGTGTTATGTGATACGTTATCACATTAATTTTCAAGTCATCCCGCTGAAATATTTAGTGTTACTTAATAACCTAATCATACTATATACCTATTATATAATACTGTCTTAAATTTGAAAATATATTTTATAGATCAAGATCTTTAGGATCTGCGGCAATAACTTTATGTTATTTAGCAATGGGAGCCATGGATATATGTTCTTTTCAATATTTGAAATGTTGGGATGTAGTAGCAGGAATTTTGATTATCCAAGAAGCTGGAGGCATCATACTTGATTCAAAAGGTAAAAATATACATGTATAAAATATAGATAAAATTATTTAACTACATAAAAATATTAATATTTTTAGGAAGCAATTACAAAGATATAATGAATGCAGACATAATCGCTGTTAGTAAAAGGAAATTAGCTGAAGATTTTTTGAAATTGAAAAATAACTATAGTAATAAACAATAAAAAAGGAACTAATCAAATATTAATTAAAATAAATATATTAAAAATAAATTTGCAGTAATTTAATAATGATGAAAGTAATACACAAAAGGATTGTTGAAAACTCATGTATCAAATAAATAAATATAAAAAGAAACTACAAAAACATGTTTATATAAATCACTAAGTAAAGAATAGGTATAGAATATTGTAATAAAACATATTATGAATAGTTTTAAGAAAAGAATTTGTAATAAATTTAATAATAAACAAATATTCTATAAGATTATTTATATTGTAGTATCTAGTTTTGTAGAGAATTTCAATGAGAGGCTACAACTTAGATTGGTCAGTTAGGAAGACTGAATAGACTATGTAAAAGAAAATATGAGAAAATGGAAATATGGAGATCAAGATATAACATGCATAATATGTGGAAAAGAGCAGACAATGTCGCATCTACTAGTATGCCCACTAGGGCCAAGTCCATGTACACAAGAGAATTTCATGATAAGCAACTAGAAGGCGGTAAATCCGGCTCAATACTGGGCCAAACAAAATATATAATATACATTACTATACACTATACCATTAAATATTATTGTGTTATTTGTTATTCATATTTTAATTATTTATTTTACTCCATGTTAGTTTAGTTTTGTCATATAAATTACATGTTTATCTTATTTTAAATATATGTTGCCTGACACGAAAAAAAAAAAATTGTAGTATCTGTAAACTATATTTTTATTCTGAGTGTAGTAAAGAATTTATTAGTTTAATTGTTTTTCTCATATAACACTTTTTCGTATAATAATGCTGAGATTTTTTCACACAGTAGGTACCTTATAAGATGCAGATATTCTCTCTGATGGCACTTTATTTGAAATGACTTTTAAAACATGACTAATAGTTATTTAATAGTTATCTAATATTTTCAGATTCAGAATTGCTTTTGAATGCAATATTTTATTATTGAATTTAGTGTTTATATATTACATTTATATGTTACTACTACACCTTTTAACACCTTCCTACCTACCTTCCTTCCTACCTAGGTGTTTAAACACTAGATTAAATACTACCATAAATAGTATACCAGCAGGTACAATCATACCTGAAGTCTTGAATGCAACATTTTTTGGATAATTTTATACTGGTCATTAATTTTACATTAATTATAAATCACGAATTGGTTAAATTTCATGTATTGGATAATTGTTTTTTTAATGATTATGTATGCTACTGATATAATAAAATAATATTTAATTGATATGATCTACATTCAATGTTAGGTATACCTACTATAAAAAATGATGGAATTAGTATTAGGTAATATCATAAATAATCAATAATTATACAGTATTATACTATTGTTCACAATGTTATTAATTTACTATAAAATTGTTTTTATTTTCTTATCAATTGGTAGAAATGCAAGTCTATAAAGATTAGTTGGATCTTTTTGATATAGGTATTTTGTAGTCAAAGCAGGTAACTTTTCGCTAACAAAACATATATTTAGGCATATTAAATTTGTTACACTTAATTAAGAACTAAAATACAACATAATGAATTTCAATTTACTTGAATGCCTGAAGGTGGAAAAGTTTGAGTTCCCTGCTGCATGTTTGGTGATGCGGGCGGACCAGGCTGGTTAGGGGAATAATTTTGTGGTGGTAATGGCTGAGGTGCGGTAGGTTGTTGTTGCTGTTGTACTTGTGGTGGCTGTTGTTGTGGTTGTTGCTGTGTTTGCTGTTGAGTCGGAGGAGGCGGTTGATGATTCGGGCCCGGAGGTCCCATTGAATTTGACGAGGGGCTGGCCATTTCCGAAAGCGCCTGTAAACACCAAATATAATAATCCAAACTTCGATCAAATAATGATGGCAATTATTTGGAGTTCATGCAATCCGCAACACAAAATACCTACATGACACTCAAGTATACTAAAAATAATAATAAATTAAATTTTTACCCAAAGCCTTTATGAAAAACAGACGAAGATGACCGTGGAAAGCCGACAAAATCAATAAAATACAAAAACTTATTTGAAGTAGATAAAAAAAAAAGCGATCATAAAAAACACCATGAACCGCAAACGAACCGACTACCGAGTGACACGATAAACAAAACACAACATACCAGTGTATTCATTTAAACATACAGAATTGTTATTTTGTAAATATATTGGCTACACTGATAAGGCAATCATTCGTATGGACACGCGGGAAATGCATGTAAATTAGCCTAACTCGAATTTTGTTAGGCGCTATCTTAGATCATAATTTACATAGATAATGAATAAAAACTCATAAAAAGATAATAATCTTATGCAATAAATATTATAAATTTTCTTATCAATACCCCATGAGGTTGTTATAGTTATTGCTTATTTTACTCCTTAACAATGGATTATATTAGATTATTATTTTTAGATGAATTAATTTTTTCATTCATAAGCCATAGCAAAATTAACAACTGAAAGTTGTAAAATCATAATATTATTTTTTAATGCTTGAAAAAAAAAAATTATTTTTTATAGCACTATAGAAAGTTTAGGTAAAAAGTGTGGGTCGTCTAGTCAAGAGCGGTCATTGGTAAATTACTTGGCAAATTTTTAGATTTTTGACTTACACATTAAGCTTATTTATATTTGAAGACTTTTAAAATAATGAATTTAGTGGATATCTACCATTTATAGAGGTTATTTCTTTTAATGCCTTTATGCACTTGCACAACGATAGGAAAACATTGTACATTTTTTATCAGGAGATTTCTTCTTCATTAGCTTAACGGTCCACTCAGTACCAGCGCTGCCATCATAATCTCTCTCCGTCTATCTCTCTGACACGCTGTCATTCTGATATATCATTATTAGATCTTTGGCAACCACGTTAATTCGTCGGATTTTGGGTCGTCGTTTGGGATTCCGTTTTATTTATTCTGTTAACTAACATCTTATTTATTAGCTGCCCATCCGCTTTTCATGCATGTCTGAACCATTCTAGTCGTTTTCTCCTAATAAAAGAGATTAAAACATTATGTTTGGCTTATTACATTTTTATTACTTCTTTTTTCATATGTCTGTATTTCTGGGTCAAAGATTGGTCCATTTATGGTTCGTAACACTTTCATTTCAAACGTGATAAATCTTTTGCTATCACCTTTGGCCAATGACCAGGTTTCACAGGCGTATGTTATAACTATAGTAAGATAACTATGACATAGTAGTAGTTTTGATTTTCTAGATAACAGCTTAGATCTCAGGGGTTTTATATAGTGACGTCATTTAAGGAGGGACAGGGACGGGCATTTGCCCCATCCTTGATTTTTAATATGGCTAGAATGTTTTGATTATTTAACCACGTCTACAAAAGGCCAATATAAGTATTTAAAGTATTTTATGAAAAATACAAGTCTCTATATACTTGTATTATTAACTGAATAACAACAAAAAAACTAAATGCCATACACTTTGTCGTATTCCTTCCTTTTTTCCCAGTTTTTCGTCATTATTTGGAAAACTATACAGAAAATCAAATAACTACTATTTAACTCGCAAATTAAACAAAATGTTTTTTTTTTAGAAAATATGTTATTTTTGAAATTTGAACAAAAATTTCTGGTAGGAAAATATAATCTTAATCATTTTAAATAATGAAATCGTTGCGCCGTGATTAAAAACAAATCGAATTTTTTGGTTTTTTTCAATTATTATGAAAACTCGCTACGCTCCGAATCTAAAAAACCAAATAGAAAATAATAATTTACGAGGATATATATTTATACTATATTTTTACTATATTTTTACATTGTAGAAACATTTATGTCACTTTATTTGAATTTACGCTCCTAATCTAAAAAACCAAATAGAAAATAATAATATACGAGGATATATATTTATACTATATTTTCACTATATTTTTACATTGTAGAAACATTTTTTTCACTTTATTTGAAAGTTTACTCATGAAATAAGTTTATTGTACAAATCTGGTTATCTGGTTAAAATCTTTATAATTGAAAAGTCTGGATTTAGTTTTATCCAACTGTTTCGATACAATTTGAAGAAACATTTTTGAAATTAAACATAAATTAAGCATGAGATTAAGGGTAGGTAGTAGGTTAATAGGTACCTATTAAATAAGGTATCTATTGTAAAATTGTAAAATATAATAAATTAAATAAATCGAAAAATTTACATGATAAATTTTTATTTAAGTGTTATCATACTATAAGTACTAAGTAGCTATAATAGTTTTCTTCTCTCCAGTCGAAAATTATTTACTTATGCAAATAGTAACCATGGAGAGGGAGGTGCCAGAATATATACTTACTGCAGCGTGCACTTATATAGTTCACTCAACATCTAATCTAATCTGAATATTTTACCACTACAATATGATGCGCCTAAAACACAAGAGTTTTAAGTGACATTTTATTGATTTCGGGAAAATCTAGTTTAAGGTTATTTGTATTTAATATAATTATTACAGTATAAAATATCATATCATCACTATTGTATTTATATTCGAACAAGTTTTAGATACTTGACAGTAAAGAGACATAAGGGTGTTAACAGCTGTTGTGGATGTTTGTACCTAATTTCTTCTAATCTGTTATGACATTCTAATTTGAAGAATATTTTAATGCGATCTAGTATTTGATACTAGAGCAGTACATGAGGAATAATTCACTTATATTTCTTTTCTACAAAATAAAATGGAATATTTGTAGTTCAACAATGCACTTATAACTCAGATTTTTTTTTTATAAAAATAACAATTATACCCCTTGTGATCTAGGTGCCTAATATTTTATGTTGGTCACATAGATTGAATAGCTATTAGATATTCACTTCTTAAGACATTCGAATCTTTACAATAACAATGTGACACCTACAGATTCGTATTCCGGTTGGTATACAAGATGATCCATATAAGTAAGTACACTCATTATCTCGAAAGTCACTTTTAGAAACAAGCAGCTTTAAAATATTACATTACTTACTAATTTTTTTTTATCTAACATTACAATTAGTGTTATTTAACCTATATTTAAATTCAGTCTTCACGTTTTTGTATGAGAGTAATGTGATATTCTTTTATTTAATAAGAGTGTCAATATTATATTTTGTCGAAATTCGTAAATATTATGGCTTTCAAAACATGTATAAACGGACTTCGCTCCGAATCGTTTTTCATTAGAAATGGTTTATCGTTGCTTACAGATATAAATTAAATAACTCTATGTATCTAACCTCTCCAATATCTATCCACATCAGTAGCTGCACCCATCCCCAGTATCAGCTCTTTTTTTTTAATAATGGTTTGAAAGAACGTGAAAGTTTACTGAAGTAATAATTGTTTCATTACTTTAATTTTTGTTTTTTGTTAAAAATATTCGTAGAGACTTGAAATTTTAATAAAAGCTTATATTTACCTTTTATAGACTTTGTAAAATGTCTAAACATTTTTGCCGTCTTTTGAGCTATTTATAAGCATTTCAGTGTCTCAGGTTTGCGAGCTTTTTACGTAGTTTTTATTTGATACGTACTATATAGATATCACTGATTAACCAAAAAGAAATGCACACAAAATCAATATGACATTCATTATAAGATATACTAGTCAACTTAGTGGTAAAAAAAAAGTAAGTGTAATAAAGACATTTTTTTTTATAATGATTTTAAGAACAAATTTTGATGAAAATATTACGATCGTTCAAATCATGTAGAAATGAACTTCACTCTGTTGTGATATATTATTTATATTTATACAGTGGTTTGTTTTACAGAATCTATCTGTAATAAAAATGTGTTTAAAAATACCTCAAGCACAATAGTATCTAAAATCTACAAAGGTGGATAATACTATATACTCAGAATCGTTTTTCATTATCAGTTGTTTATCGTTGCTTACGATATTAATAATTATAATAATTTTATTTTACATTATTATTTTATTTTATCTCACCTGTATTAGTAGTGTATTCTTCAGCAGTATCAGCTCTTTTTATACTAAATCCTTGTTATTTACAATTATTGTGACTATGACGTAGGTAGCAGTATAACGTAGGTATTACAATAATATTATATTATATAAAAAAAGAAAACACAAACACACACACACACACACAAACACATCATAGTAAAATTGATAGATCCCTCACTAATCTCTGAATCTAAAACAATAAGAAACATGCAGTGTTTAATTTAAACGAGTTAAGTTGTATAGATACATGATTTAATACACAAAATTATTTAATATAGATTAAGCATACAAAATAACCCAAGGTGACATGGTTTATTTATTCTATCGACAAAAAATATTGTAATGAAATATTGTTAATCAAAAAGACAGACTTTGTTATCCGAATAAAATTATATAAGTACATTTTTTCTCTTACAGTTTTAATAATACAGAGTGGTCCATTATTCACGAAGTATCAGCAATTTTCTCGGACGATTTTAAGTGAATTTCATTTCTGTTTTGTTAAATAATGACAACAGTTAAAACTGTTATATAACAGTTTAAAATGTAGACCGGAGGATTAGGGAAGGGTTATAACTTCATATTCATTTTCAGATAATAAATAATTAATTTACTTCCTTATTGGTCTAAATTGTAAACTGTTATCAGTTATAACTCATATAACTTATATAACTTATACACTGCTGCCCAGATGATTTATCGAGGGTAGTGAAAACTTATCGACTTATCGATTTCGTGGCCGGCATTCACGATTAGGCTACACGCAGGAAAGATTTTATGGTATACGATTTTTTTAAAACACCGACAGGCGACACTATTCGTTCTCCTTTAACCGGTACGTTAAATTAACCGCGTGCTGGTGACGAGATTGATAGCCAAAATCCTTTGGATAATCCTGATATCGCTGCCACCGTTTAATGAGGCTTATAAATCTTTCGAAATAATCTGTTCAAATGAACAGAGATTTTTTAGAGTGAAACAATTTTTTTTTAAGCAGTTTTAATTTATTTTACAAAAGTTAAGTTAACGCTTTTATATGTCGTATTATAAAAAAAGTAACTAATATTGCTGATGGGCGTGTCATTGTTGTAAGTGAGAAGTTGAGAAGGTAGGATACATAAATACATATTATTTATATTTGTACATAACGATAAACATTATTGACAAAAAACGATTCTAAACGAAGTTCGGTTAATCGTGTTTTAAAATATCACAGACACAAGATATGAAATAAAAAAAACCACACATAGTAAAACCAATACATTCCTCACTACGCTCAGAGTCTAAAATTAATTCTTTACACCAAATATTTCACAGTAGTTGTTTAATAATATTGTCGAAACCATAATATATTATATAGGTGCCGAGAATAAAATATACGAGAGAGGTAAAAACGATACTTTAAGTTTTACTGTTTGCGAGAGGTGGGATGGGGTGAATGTGAAACGACTCGTATTCCCGTTCGTTTCTGTATTATAACTCTCATAAAGATAAATAATAGCATGTGTGGATAATACTCTGTGGCCGGTGGTCAATAGAGAGAGAAAGAGAGAGAGAGAGAGAGAGAATTACGATGAAAAGTTAAACGGCAATCTGATTGGCAACCTTAACTTTACTATAGAACATAAAATGTAATAAATATACGATAGAATGTCACGACTTAACTAAAGCTTTTCGGTTTTTTTTTTATTTACTACCAATATAATAGTTTACATAGGAAAAAAAAAATGCGTAGTATCGTGGTTGAGCTATTGGTTAGAAGTCGAGAAAGTAGTAGGACGTATACGTGTATCGGGTAACTTAGTTTATACATATACACAGCGATAAATCATTGCGAATGAAAACCGATTCTAAAGCGAAGTTCAA